TATTAGGGCTTTGAATCAAATCTTCATGCTTATATCCAGATATTAGACCTTTAAGTCAATTTATCATACTTATATCCATGTTATGCAATTTCACGCTATACACCATTGTAATGTTTTGTTTCAAAAAAAATATTGATAATAAAATTGAGTATTTTGAAATTTAACAGGTATCCGTACATTTATAATCGGGATGGCACAGAGCTTCATTGCCTTAAGGTTAGTGTATACTACTATTTGATTGATCTTCTTTATGTCTATATTTCTCATTCTGGCATTTAGTTTGAATACATGGAATACTTTTCGCAGTTTTCCCTTGAAGTGTAGTTTATATGTTTGATGCTGTTTGAACTTCAATACATTGACGGAGAACTCTTAAATTGCAAATGAGTCTGATTCATGTCTTCATTTAGTTATCATAGCATGCTCTATGTTGTAGACCAATATGTATAGGAACCATTATGCCTAACCTTCGATAATTAGTTGAATCTTCTTTTAATTTGTTTAGTGTATTATGTTGATATTAAAAGTGTTTCAATTCTACAACCGTAAATACCCCGTAGAGGAGAGGTGTCTTTAGATGTACATACAGTTACCGTTTGTATTTTGTTCGTTCTCTGAAGCACGTATTCTCATGTATAAATTGAACTGACCACGAATTCTAAAAAAATGTTTTAGGAGCATGGATCAGTCTTGAGGCTTCAATTTCTGAAAAATCACTTCCTTTTGGCATCCATAAACAAGTTTGGACAGCTTCACTATCAAGATGTAACAACAGGTAGCATGGCCGGTGTCTTCCGTACCGGGTTAGGCCGTACCGATGTGATGCAGGTAAACCCATTCAATGGGGTTATAGCAACTGGACATTCAGGTGGTTCAGTTGTGATGTGGAAGCCTACAAGCTCTTCTCCTCTTGTAAAGATGCTTTGTCATCAAGGCCCTGTGTCAGCACTCGCGTTCCACCCGAATGGCCATCTCATGGCTACATCTGGTTGCGAGCGGAAAATTAAGCTCTGGGACTTGAGGAAGTTTGAGGTGCTTCAGACCCTGCCTGGGCATGCTAAGACATTAGACTTCAGCCAGAAAGGGCTACTTGCTTGTGGCACAGGGTCGTATGTACAGATTCTGGGTGATTTAGCTGGATCTCAGAATTACACAAGGTATATGTCCCACTCAATCGTGAAAGGCTACCAAATAGGAAAGATACTGTTTAGACCTTATGAAGATGTTTTAGGCATAGGTCACTCAATGGGTTGGTCTAGCATCCTCATTCCAGGATCTGGTGAACCCAACTTCGATACTTGGGTAGCAAACCCCTTCGAGACATCGAAACAGCGGAGAGAAAAGGAGGTTCGATCTCTTCTCGATAAGCTTCCTCCCGAGACAATTGCTCTCAACCCCTCGAAAATTGGTACGGTTATGGCCGTAAAGAAGAAAGAAAAGAAGACAAAGAAGGAAAGAGAAGCTGAAGAGGAGTCTGCAATTGATGCTGCAAAGAGCATCACCATGAAGAAGAAAACAAAGGGAAGGAATAAGCCAACCAAGAGAGAAAAGAAGAAACGCGAAATTTTCGACAAGTCCAAAAAGCCTTTCCTTCAAGAACAGATAAAGGAAGAAGAAGAGTTGTCTCGAAAGAGACCGAGGTTGGGCGAGGAGGTCGAACTTCCCAAGTCCTTACAGAGATTCGCTCGTAAGAAAACTGCAACTTGATCATAACTTTTACATTCATCATAGTTTTTTTGTAGTCTATCTAATCTATAGTTATTATTATTGAGCATTGTTGTTCATAAATTTTGTTTGTTTCATCAAGGAAGAAAAGAAAAAATGTGGGCAAGAAGGATTTGATTTCCTTTGCAGTGTTTGCTTGCTTCAATTACGCACAAGCATACACTTTAATTTAGTGTTGCTGGATATCTTTATTTCCAATTTGGATCCGAATCAGATAATATTTGCCTTCTATAATTGATATATATATATATATATATATATATTTTTTTTTTTTTTTTTAACTTTTTACTAATATATATTTTTTTTTTCAGAAGATTAATATTAAATAGCTGAAGTAAAAAGCTTTATATAGGTTCAGGTCTTCAATAGGTTAATTTCCTGCTTTATTGCCCTTTTATTAAGTTAATACAAAAAATTTAGGTGAAAATTTCAATTTTTGCTTTTAAATTTATCATAATGTATTTATTTTTACACTAAATTTTAATCGTAATTTCTTCAAACAAAATATAAATTTAGAACAATTTTTCTAAGATACTGATTTTAAAAATAAAAAATACGACCAAGATTTTTAATGGCCTCAAATGTTTGGGGATAAGATTGTATAGAAAAAATAAACGAAATTATATTAGATTATATGATATATAAGTTAAAATACAAGTCTTTTTTTTTTTTTTTTCTCCTCTTATTTACCGATATCTCCTCCTATTCGAATTAAAAAAAAAAAAAAAAGTTAAATCAAAACATGAGAAATGTAAAAATTGGACCCAAAAAAGATTTAAATGTAATTTAATTGTCAATTAAGTTTGAAAATATAAGCAAAGGAATTTGAAAAAGAATAGTTAAAGAAATAAAATAAGTCAATTTTTTTTTTTAATTCTCTCTCATTATATAGAATATTGTGAACCGTATATTTCTTTCTTAAACCGGTCTCCTTTGGTCCGGCGTGTAGCCATTGCTTTCATTTGATTATATAATTTATATATAATTTATAATAGAATAAATTTTCATTTGCCGTTCCATTTCAGTGGCTGCCTTGCTGTTTGGCCGTGGAATTGCCACCATGGCTCTCTTGGCTCTTAGCCGCTCTGATTGTCTACTCCGCCGCTGCCGCCATGACCGGATTACGACCACCACCGTCGTTTCTTCGTCCGGTGTACCGAGGCAACCTCGGATTCTAATTCTACCTTTCCGAACTCTCCACCGTACATTGCCATCATTTCGGATTCCATCTTTCTCCTCTAGCCGCGTTTTGCCTCCACGCGCTCTTTCCGGTGATATTCTGCATGATGCCGGAGCTACGGCGGCTGTCCTCGCCGGCGCCTACTCGCTTGTTCTCGGATTCGATCAGCTCTCCCAGCGGAATCTGATTCAACAGGTTCGTCGGATTCATTTCCTTCCTTGATCGCACTTGTAACTCATTTTTGTGATAGTACCGAGTTAGTTATATGTGCGCGAGTGGTGATCTGGATACTACGTTCGTATATGATTAATTAGGGAAAACGATATGTACATTTTAGTTTGTGCCTTAGAAAGGTTTGTTCGATTTCCACAAATGGAAGAGCGATGGATTGTAATGAAAAAATGCTTTTCCAGATTTCCTTTCTCGAAATGAAAGTGGAACCAAATTTTCTTGGGAGCTGTTTACTAAATCCGGAAATTTCTAGATGCAGATTTTAAATTGTAAATTCTGGCAAGATTTTCTACATTGCAAGCTAATCGAAAACCTTGCGCTTCTCGCTTGCTTAGATGAATTAGAGTAGATACAGAAACTTCATATAAGTAGCAAGTAATTTATTGCATTTAGCTAGTAGGAACTATGTACAGAACCTGAATCAGGTAATTTTACAAACATAGTATCAGGATTCCCCAATGCCTTTTTGAAATGTTTTGGAAGCATTACTGCCAAGGTAACTGATCTCTTTTACGTATCTTCCTCTTGGTTTAGGTTTTCTAGGCTTACACTTCGACGTTCTTGGATCTGTCCTGGTCTGTTTAGTTTCCATTTGCCCTGCATTTAGCGTCCTGTTTCCACATCGGTTAATTTAGGAAATTATCATGGGTTTATAATCAAGGAATACTCTCTCCATTGGTGTGAGACCTTTTGGGGAAGCCCAAAGCAAAGCCATGAGAGTTTATGCTCAAAGTGGACAATATTATACCACTGTGGAGGGTCGTGTTTATCTAACACTGTTTATTGGGGTAGCTGTGCTCTAGTACTTGTCGACAGAGAAGTCGATTAGAACAGTGTAGTGTTCGAATAGAAATTTACCACTCTCTCTGCACAGCTAACTTTCTTTTGTTTAAACTTCTTGAACAAGATATCAATTCTTTTATCATACAAATTAGCCGCTCATTAGTTTTGTGGCAGTGGGGGAATATTAGTTTACATGACAGAGGAGGGAAATCTCATAGAAATTATTGTATTCCTTGTTCCTTCTGATGAATAACATCAATGAAACAGAAATTGAGCAGAAAACTTGTCCACATATTGTCCGGATTGCTTTTCATGATGTCCTGGCCTATGTTCAGGTAATCCTAAGCCTGAGATGTTACTCAGCCTCATTGATTTTGCATACCAATTATTTAAATCTGGGTGTTTCTCAACCACTTTTGTATATTGTTTTGATTCTAGAATAGCACGTCAATGGAAGCTCGATACTTCGCTTCAATAGTTCCGACTGTGAATTGCTTGAGGCTTGTTATCAATGGCCTCTCATTAGCCAAAGATGAAGGACTTTTAAAATCGCTTACTCGGGAAGGAAAACCGGCGTAAAGTTCTATCTCCCACCCTTTCAGAATTCATGAATTCCTTAAATTATATACCTCAACTATAACCCCTTTAATCAGTTTGGACATATGATCTCAAATCTACAGGGAATTGCTGAGAGGCCCTCTATATTATGTTCTTATACTGATTTTTTCAGCTGTTGTCTTCTGGCGTGAATCTCCAGCTGGTATTATCTCATTGGGAATGATGTGTGGAGGAGATGGTAATTTTCATCACCTTTAGATACCTTCCCAGTTCTAGTACTGTTATAACTGCTAACTCTTGTCGACTTAACTGCAGGTATTGCTGATATAATGGGAAGAAGGTTTGGATCCAAAAGGCTTCCTTATAATGAGAAGAAGAGTTGGGTTGGTAGCATATCAATGTTCATCTTTGGATTTGGTGTCTCCATTGGGTGAGTTCTTTTGCTTTTCTATATCCACCCAAACTAAAATCCTATTTGGGGTTCTTTCAAAATAAATTAGATTTGTTTAGACATTCCGAACTGATTTTAACTATTTTGAAATCACTCTCGAGAACTGTTGTATGTAGTATAACTATTTCAAATCCACTCTCTCGAACACGTATCTAGTTGAACTATTTCCAATCCACTCTATGTAGCTTAACTATTTCAAATCCACTCTCGGGAAACATGTTCGTAGTATAACTATTGCAAATCCACTCTCGAAACAACGTAACTCAGAAGAAAAATGGTTGGTTGCTATGTGTGTAGAATGCTGTACTATTTCTCAGCTCTTGGATATTTGGAGTTGGATTGGGGAAAAACCGTGCAAAAAGTTGGTTTAGTTTCTCTGGTGGCAACAGTGGTGGAGTCTCTGCCAATTGCAAATGTAGTAGACGATAACATATCAGTACCACTGGTCAGCATGGTAGTAGCCTTTCTCACTTTCAATACTTAAATCTTGTTATGAATTCTAATTATTCCAATGATTATCATATTTTCATAGCATTTTTTATTAAAATATATTATGCCTTGAACTTTTACGAAATTAATATTGGGATTTTGACATTTAATTATTTAAAAGGATTCTGAGTTGAGTTCAGGTACAGCAGCTGCCACTCCTCCAGGAGATATGTGACTGACTTGTTTTAATCCTAGGGAATATGAGGTATCGTATTGTCAGGTGCCTCCATTGTCCTTTCTACTTTAATTAAAATCACTGTCACCTTTTACGTCAGTAAATGTTTTTTTTTTTTTTTTTTTAACTTAAAAATTGAAATAAAAAAAATTAAAATGTAATTATCACATTTTTTTGTAAATTAATAAAAATATCCCTACATTTTTAAGGTTCACTCCAAAAATTCTTTTTCAAAAGATTTATAATATTCTGTTTAAAAAACTCTTAAAACTTTTATTGAAGAGTTTCAAAAATCTCACTTATAACTTTAATTTTTTTTTTTAAAATGTTAAAAAATAATTTAAATTTTTTAAAGTTTGGTTAAAAAGTTTAGAGATAATTTATGAAAAATTAATAAAAAGTGAGAAGTATTTTGAATTTTTTTTATAGAGTTATAGGTATTTTTTTAATATAAAATTAATGTTAAAAGAGTATTTTTGAACTTTTTAAAAATATTTGAAAACTCTTTAAATTTTAAAGATATTTTTGAACCATTTTTCTCTAACCTATGGCCATTCAATTTTTTAAATATATATTTTTACATTAATGATGATACAAAAAAAATTAAGTTAGTTATATTTAGGCTAAATTAATTTGAGGTGAATTTAGGTGAATTTAGGTGAATTTGTATACCAATGTAATTTAAAAATTTTCATTTATGATGAGTTAGTGCGGTTGTATCAGTTTTTTTGAATGTCTACAAAAAAGAAAAATTAATATAATCTGACTAAGATAGTGTGACATATTTTCATTAGTATCGTTAATTAAATGACTTTATAAGCTATTTATAATATTTTCCACTCTTGAACTAAAAGTGTTACTTTTAGTTTGTTCTAACTCTTCCCTTCATAATTAACATGAACTCATCGCTATCTCTCATGAGATCGAAAAAAATAAAAAATAACTCTGTTATTGTATTACCACCGGATGAAACCAATCCCAAAAACTATATATAAAAGTTCGGGATCATCCATCTCATAATATTGCAGCAAAAATAACACTTAGATCATCGTTTGTTTTGTTTTTGTCCGTGCTTTCGAAAAATATATTGACATTTTTTATATATCAAAATTATTATTAATGGACCCATTTAGATCCAAATTAAATTTGAAGTTTTAAATTTAAGATTTTATTGAAGGATTGTTCTTGAATTTTAACAATATTTAATTAATGGTAAAATTTTAAATTTTGTAGTTTGTCGCTGGGGAGGTGAATTTGTCCACTTTGAGCATAAGCTCTCATGGCTTTGCTTTGGGCTTCCCCAAAAGGCCTCATACCAATGAAGTTAATATTCCTCACTTATAAACCCATGATCATTCCCTAAATTAGCCGATGTGGGACTTTCATCATCCAACACTAAGAATTGCAAAAAAAAAAAAAAAAAAAAAAAAAAA